CGGGTTCCTCGTAATTGCTGTCGGCTTCCCAGCCGGCATCATATTCAGGGACGTCTCCTAGCACAGCGCGTGTGTCGGTTTGCGGCAACACTTGGTGGGCGAAGACGTGATTGGGGTCGATGCCCGCCGCGAGGGCTCTCTGCAGGGTCGAGACAATTCCGTGTTGGGCGGCCCAGATCAATGGTTTCGGGTATGGCTCAAGGGCAGCTCGCCGGTAGAGGATGGGGATGGCGATGTCGTAGAGCTTGCGGTCGGTTCGTGCGAACGAGGCGAGGTCGGCGACGGCATCGATGTTGTCAGCGACGAAGACGAGGAGCTCGACGGGGAGATGGGCGAAGCAGGCCATTGCGCCGCGGCCGCGGGCCTGGGTAGAAAAGAAGTCGACTCTGGGGTATTATCGGGTGGCTCTCCTGGCATTGCCGATGCTGTAGAAAGTATTTCGTCAAGATGGCGTTGCAGAGATGGCGCGCGGGTAGGTCGGGTTGAGGGATGGTGTTGAATGGCCGCCAATTCAGGAGCTTCGAGAGCTTCCCGGCGACGCGTGAGAGACCAATGCACAGCGCTCCCGTCGCTGCAGCTGGCAGGGGAATTTGTGATTGGGGGGACGTGTTTGGCAGCTGTGGAGCCGAGACACGTGGTGAGACTCGACCTGGACTCGTGGTCTGTGCCATTTCCATTTCAACGTCGAGCACGGGCCATGTTAGTGTATTTTCCCGTTTGTATTTCATTTCTCGAGGGGTGACATGAAATCTCTCCGGCGCCCGGCACAAGACGGCGAGCGACTGCGACACCAGGGGAAAAAGGAGGGTGTCACCTGTGCCCCAGGCAACACCACACCGCCCTCCCGGTCGGCCTGCGGCTCTGTGTCTCTGCATCTCGACTGCAAGGTACGAGGCCAAGAAAAGAATTGCGACATCCATCCTCTATTTTAACCTCCAGCGTCTCTCCCTCCCACTGCACTCAGCACTGAGACCACCTTCGACAATCGCCATGGAGGCTCGGTCGGCCAACACTCGTGGCATCGCGATCCATCGACAAGGGCCTCTGCTGGGAGTGTTGCCATGCTGCGACAGTGCCGTCCCAATCAGGTGCTCTGCGTCGCACTCATCCGCCCGCAACCGTTGGGCGACACACCGGCGACGCTCATTCGGGCATCGCTCACCATGAGAAATCCAGGTTGACCGTTGGACGCTTCCGCTTCCAAAATAGAACGGAGCCTCAGACCAACTGATCAAAGCAGCGCCCTTCCCCACCGATGAACCAGAGAGAGAGGGCCTGTCTCCGTTGCGTCGAGGACCTCTTCCGTGTCGCCGTCGACATGCTCCGGCTTGGGCCTCTTGGTTTCTCTTGGACGTCGCCTTCGCCCCTACAAAACCGCAAACAGCCGCTGGCTCTTCATTTGGCCGTCAGCGCCGCAAGGTGGCCATGCAGTGCTTGGGTTCTTGGGGCGCGCAGCCGTTCGTCTACTTGACGGGTCTCCGGTGTCTGCTGAGCCTCGTGCCGTGCGGCAGCGTCGCAGCCGCGGGTCATGTCCCAGCCCGGGTGCGCTGGTGGTGTCCTCCCACTTTCGGCTGAATTGCGCCTGGAGAACCCAGGCGGAACCCGACCTGCTCAGCTTGCTGCAATGGGAGCCCTCGGGGGGCCACTCCGGCCGCAGGGCCGCGTTAATTGAGCCAAGGCACTGCTCTCGACGGGTCTCGCCCGATCTCGTCGATCGCGACAGAACGCGGTCCGGAGGCCAAGAGTCCACCTACCATGGCACGCATGGCAGCAAACAAGACCCAAGAAATCGATCCGTGGACGCAAGGGACAGCCCGGCCATCTCTCCTCCCAGGCCCGGGTCGGAACGTTGGCGATGCGGCTCGTAGATTGGGTGGCCAGAAAGATATAACTGTCCTCTGGCCCCCCATCACCTCGGTCGCTACCCCTGTACCTACTACTTGACCGTTCGGCTGCCACTTGGGTCGGGGGGTTCATTCGTGTTTGTCGTCCGACGTTGGATCCCCTCAGTTCGAAAATGTGGCTGCGTCTCCCTTTGGCCCTGCTCGGGCTCGCCGCCGTCCACGTCCATGCCGCCTCGACGGTGCTCCTCGAAAAGGCCGAGGGTCTGTCGCCGGGATGGATCTACCGCGGCCAGGCCAATGCCTCCGAAACCATCACCCTCTCCATCGTTCTCAAGGAACCGGGCATGGACGACATCAAAGACAAGCTCCTGCGGCGACACAGCAATCCTCGGCACCCCGACTTCAACTCACCCCATCTCACCCGCGAAGAGGTGCGGCGGGCCCGGCAGCCCAGGCGAAAGGCCGTCAGCGAGGTCTCGGCGTGGTTGAAGTCGAACGGCATTGGCGAGATGCAGACAAGAGGGAGTCTAATCACCTTTACCGCCACGGCCAAGACCGTCAAGACCTTGTTCCAGGCGGACCTCGGACGCTACGAGTACAAGGACGACAGCACAAATGTGCTCCGCGCGCTCAACTACACAGTCCCGGCCTGGCTGCGCAGTGACATCGACTTTGTCCACCCCCTCGCCAACTTTATGGTTCCGCACCGGAAGCGTCCCGGGCAGGGCGGAAAGGGCAAGGGCAAGGGCAAGGCCGGGCCAACGCCGAAGCCCCAGCCCGAGCCTACCAAGGGCAAGGGGAAGGCCGGACCGGCGCCGAAGCCCCAGCCCCAGCCCACCAAGGGCAAGGGGAAGGCCGGGCCAGCGCCGAAGCCACAGCCCCAGCCCACCAAGGGCAACGGCAAGAGCTGCAAAGCCAGTTCGGGGACCACCAAGTCCGTCAGCACCAAGGCGGCGAGCACCAAGTCAGGAGCCAACACCTCGAAAACGGCCAGCACCCTGAAGACGGTCAGCACCTCAAAGACGGCCAGCACCTTAAAGACGGTCAGCACTTCGAAGACGGCCAGCACCTCGAAGACGGACAGCAGCGTTGTAGATAACCCGACGCTCAGCACTTCGGTCAGGAGCAGCACATCCAACAGCATCGCCACATCCGACAGCATCACCACATCCGGGAGCATCACCACATCCGACAGCATCAGCACGTCCGGAAGCAGCACATCCAGCAGCAGCAGCAGCATATTCAGCGCGTCCAGCAGCCAAAGCACCACCAGCGCAACCACACCGAGCAGCATCATATCCAGCAGCAGCACGACAACACCAAAAGCAGGCGCCGCCGTATCAACAGACGGCGCATCAAGCGGCGGTTTCACCACCACCATCTGGGACAATGGCCCGCCAGGCGGCGGCGGCTTCACCACCATCTGGGACAACGGCCCACCAGGTGGCGGTAGCTTCACCACCATATGGGACGGCAACCTCCCGACCGCCGCCATCACGTTCAGCGAAAAGGAGCCAGCCAGCACCCCCGATGGCATCATGTCCACGGCGACCATCGTGATGGGGGAGACGCTGACGCAGGACGTCCCCTTCGCCACGCTGACGGTCTTCCCCGGCGGCCCCAGCCCCGGCGACTACCCCTGCTCGACCGGGACCTACCCCGAGTGCATCCGGCAGCTCTACAACATCTCGTACGAGGCCAGCGCGCCCTCGCCCGTCCGCTTCGGCGTCCCCGGCTTCCTCGAGCAGTGGATCCACCACGCCGACGTCGAAAAGTTCATGTACTGGAACTCGCCCGAGCTCCTCGCGCTCGACCCGCCGCACAACTTCACGGTGCAGCTCTTCAACGACGGCATCAACCCGCAGGACTCGTACGGCGGCTCGGGCATGGAGGCCGCGCTCGACGTGCAGTACGCCATCACGCTCAGCTACCCCGCCAACGTCATCTACTACGTCACGGGCGGGCGCGGCATCAAGTTCGACGCCGAAGGCGTCCCGCACCCCGAGGAGATCAGCGACAACGAGCCCTTCCTCGAGTTCCTGACCGAGCTCCTCGCCCAGCCCGACGACCAGATCCCGCACGTCCTCTCCATCTCGTACGCCGACGACGAGGTCGGCGTGCCCGTCGCCTACGCCCGGCGCGTGTGCGACCTCTTCGCCGCCGCGGCCGCGCGCGGCGTCACCACGTTCGTCGCCACGGGCGACGGCGGCGCGTCCGGCACCGGCCAGCTGCTGTGCGCCTCCAAGGAGCGCAACCCGCGCAAGATGTACATGCCGACGTTCCCCGCCAGCTGCCCGTACGTCACGAGCGTCGGCGCCACGCACAACATGGGCCCGCCGCTCATGGGCGCCGAGTTCAGCACGGGCGGCTTCAGCACCTTTTTCCCGCGGCCCGACTTCCAGCGCGAGGTGGTGGACCCGTTCGTCGACGCCATGGTGGCGCGCAACGACTCGCGGCTGCCGCTCATCGCGCGCAACGGGCGCGCCATGCCCGACATCAGCGCCATCGGCAGCGGGTTCGAGATTGTGCGGGCCGGCGCGCCCAACGTGGTGCTGGGCACGAGCGCGTCGACGCCCGTGGTGGCCAGCATGATTGCGCTGGTCAACGACGCGCGGCTGCGCGCCGGCAAGCCGAGCCTCGGGTGGTTCAACCCCGTGCTGTACTCGGAGAAGGTGCGGGCGACGCTGACGGACGTGACGGTCGGCAACAGCCGGGGGTGCGTGTTCCCCGACAGGCGGACGGCGCCGGGGTGGCCGTCGCTCGAGGGGTACGACTGCGTCACGGGGTTGGGTGTCGTGGGTGACTTTAGCGAGTTCATGGCGGCGCTGGTATAGCGGGGGGACACAAAACGTCTCATATTGTTAGGCATGCCGATGGTCATGGCAGGGAATTGCATCATATTTTTTCTCAAAGTAACACCGTTGCCATGTGGCTGTCCTGGCGTGGGTGATGTTGCAGACAGATTGACCTTTGTTTTGGGCGAGGGGGCAGGGCACTTGGACGAGCTGCCCTTGATCGCCAGCACCAGGCTCCGCAGCATGACCTCACCCTCGACAAAATGGATCCCCGCCCAACCCATCAGCACAAGCTTGCCCAGTCTCGAGTCATGGTTTTGCCTGACAAAAAGAACAAGCTTGCAGAAACTGCAAAAAGATGGGCCCGAACCCGGGATTGAACCGGGGACCTCTCGCATTTAACTCAGGGTGAACCCTAAGCGAGAATCATACCGCTAGACCATCCGGGCGAATCGTTGCTTGAACGAATTGATGGAAGACGAGTGCGGAGTAAGGGTTTATGTCCGCTCGTCCATCGTCTCCCCTCAAGACATATCTTGGGCGGCGACAAGACTGGGGGGCTCAAGACTGAAGATGCTTCCATCTTTGCATGCGCGCCTTCGTTGCAATGTTGGACGGCCGTGTACATGGGATCAATTGGAAGATTCGTAAGTTATGTTATGTGTGGAATAGTTTCGATTGATTGTTTTATGGTATTTCCTTTTTTTGCATTTACACTTCCAGTCTTTAAACCCTCTTTCTTCTTCAATGCCCGCGGGGAGCGTGGAGAATTTTGAAGGCAATGACATAGGCGGTTTTGACCGTACTACCTCTCTCCTGCTCCATCCTGTTCCAGCTGCTACTTGGGTAACATGGAAACGCTGACACCTACGACTTAATCGCATTCCTTCAATCAGTCACTCCTTAACAAGGAGTGGACATCCCTTCATCACCTGCCCTAGGGGGTGGTCGGAGGGGAGGGGTAAGGATTGGCCGGGGGAGTCGAAGGGGGGGTCGGGTACGACATAATTTCCGGAGGAGAGTGGTCTGGTTGGTACCGGTGTTGAAACGGGTTGTTGTGCGGGCTTGCGTGGTTGGAACTCGTAGTTGGAAGTGTCTTCTGGTGGGAATATTTGGAGTTTGCGAGTTCAGGAGATCTGGATGTAGTTGGAAGTGTCTGGTGGGAATATTTGGAGTTTGCCAGTTAAGGAGATCTGGATGTTGATATGGATGGAAAGGTCGAAGACAGAGGCGTTGTTCAGGTTGAAGAACAAAGAGTGAACCGGGGGAGATGAAGGAGTTGGTCTTTTTATTGTCTTTTCTTATGCGGCAGTTGCAAGCCCTGCAGTAGTCCTTTTTACTAACAGTGCCTCCTAGCGATATGCCCGTGACTGCATGCCTCCTGGCGATATGCCCGTGACTGCATACCTCGTGGCAATATGCCCGCGACTGTATGCCTTATAGCGACTATCTTTCGCCTCGCCACCTGCGGCGCAGATTAGGGCTAGCCACTGCCGGTTATGCCGACATGGCGAGAGTTGAACAATCAAGACTAATACCTTTGCTCTCTCGAGGTAACGGCTACATTGTCAGGAAGACTCTCCTGGCGTTTACTTCTTGTCTCACCGACGGAATGGGCGCAAGCTTGCACCAGGTCTGCCCATCTCGAGACACAGGTGCCAGTGCTGTCTTGTTCATCTCCAGAATCGCAAAAGTACCTAGGTAGGTTCCCAATGCAGACTGGGGGGGTCAGAACGAGCCCAAGACATCAAGGACTTATTTCTGCTTCTTGTCAAGAACGGCATCGCCCTTGTCCTCTGCGCTCGACTCGAGAATGCTCGACCACGTGGGCACGACGCCAGCAGGCGCTGAAGAGCTCTGTGCAAGCATGTGTGCAAGTTTGTGTGCAGGAACCATGGACGCCTGGACTGGAGAAGATATTCTCGTTGGGAGTAAGGCAGAGCCAGCCTGGGGAGCAGCAGTCGTAAGGAAGCGAGAACATCGACGAGACTGTTGAGCGAAAGGTTCCAATCACCGGGGATAGCTCACTCATGCAACACATACAGGAAACGGCAACACACGAAGCGAAACGATGCATATTGGTACATGCGATTGAACAGAGACAACACCTCCCGTCTCCGACATCTCCAAATTTTCCTCAGCGTCCGGGGACAACCATTACGATATCATACAATCCAATGACAAAACATAGTGAATCCAACACGGGAGGAATTGTCCGGGGCTTGCTTCGAGCGAGCGAGCCAGACAGACCGAGGTATTCCCCAAAGATCCATCCAACCCATCTCCCCTTCAGCAAAAGACACATCCACGTCAACGTCCGCCCCACCCCCCATTCCCAACCCGCACCTACGCCATCTTGGCCTTGATATTGTCATAGATGCTCTCGGGGTACTCGAGGTTGTTATTGCTCGAATCCAGCGCGCTGCCCCACTCGTTGGCGCTGGTAACCACCAAGCTCTCGTCGCCGGTGCGATCCCCCGACGCCTCCCAGAACATGCTGCCGGCGAGCTTCTTGGTCTTGGCCCAGGCCAGTTTGGTCTTGATCATGTCCTTGGTGTCGTACGACACGAACTCGCGGTTGGCCGCGTCCCAGCTGTACGTGGCGCCCGACACGGCGTCCGTCATCTCGACGGCGCCCGGGCGCGGGAGGACCTTGTAGTCGTAGATGCCCTTCTCCCAGGTGCCCATGGGGACGCTGTCGAAGCGGGTGCCGAGGCCGTTGGTGTCGGTGAAGGCGCGGCCGTAGAGGGGCAGGCCGAGGACGATCTTGTCCGACGGGACGCCCGAGGCGAGGTAGTCGTCGATGGCGACCTGCGTGGAGAAGGGCGTGGTGAGCTCGTCGCCCGACGGGTACAGGTTGGCCTGGTGGGCGGCGGTGCCGCCCCACGCGCCGGCGTAGTCGTAGGCCATGAGGTTGAACCAGTCGATCGTGTCGGCCAGCGCGCCGAGCGGCTGGAGCCCGTACGTCTTGGGGCCGGCCGACGACGCGATGGTCAGCAGGAAGCGGTAGCAGTTGGCCGACTTGGTCGAGTAGGCGTCGAGCTCCTTACGGATCGCCTTGAGGAGGAGGACGTAGTTCTCGGCGTCGGCCTCGGTCTTGGGGAACTCCCAGTCGATGTCGAGGCCGTCGAGGCCGAGGTCGGCGACGAGCTTGACGGCGGTCTTGGCGAAGCGCTCGCGGTTGGCGGCGGTGGCCGCGGCAGGGGCGAAGTTGTCCGACCAGGTGGCGCCGCCGATCGAGAGCTGCGACTTGAGCTGGCGGTTAGCCTTCTTGAGGAGGTAGAGCTGCTTCATGATGCCATAGACGTTGCTGCCGGGCTCGGTGTTGTCGTCGCCTGGGAACGTCTTATCAACGTCGGCCCACTCGTCCGACAGGTAGACGGTGCCGTCGGCGGTCAAGTTGGCGAAGGAGTGCATGACGTGCGTGATCTTGTCAGAGGGCATGTCCGTAGGGTTGTACGCGCGGTCGAAGATGCTCCTGGGAGGGGGGTTAGAGCGAGGCCAGGGAGGTCAGGGAGGGGGCAGGGGCATACCAGTTGGGGAAGTAGACGACATTCTTCTTGCCACCGGGGGCGGCAGTAGGGACGGTGCAGCCAGTGGAGGTGGTACTGGTGGTCGACTGAGTGGTAGTGGCGGTGGTGCTAGCGGTCGTCTCAGTAGTGGTGGCGGTGGTGCTAGCGGTCGTCTCAGTGGTGCTGGCCGTGGTCTCAGTGGTGCTGGCGGTAGTGCTGGCAGTCGTCTCAGTGGTAGTGGCCGTGGTCTCAGTGGTGCTGGCGGTCGTCTCGGTGGTGCTGGCCGTGGTCTCAGTGGTGCTGGCGGTAGTGCTGGCAGTCGTCTCAGTGGTGGTGGCCGTGGTCTCAGTGGTGCTGGCGGTCGTCTCGGTGGTGCTAGCAGTGGTCTCAGTGGTGGTGGCCGTGGTCTCAGTGGTGCTGGCGGTCGTCTCGGTGGTGCTAGCAGTGGTCTCGGTGGTGCTAGCAGTGGTCTCGGTGGTGCTGGCGGTGGTGCTGGCGGTCGTCTCAGTGGTGCTGGCCGTGGTCGACTCGGTGGTGCTGGCGGTGGTGCTGGCCGTCGTCTCAGTGGTGCTGGCCGTGGTGCTGGCGGTCGTCTCAGTGGTGCTAGCAGTGGTCTCAGTAGTGCTGGCAGTGGTGCTAGCCGTGGTGCTGGCCGTCGACTGAGTGGTGCTGGTGGTGGACCCGGTGGTGGTCGTCGAGTCGGTGGGCTTGGACGTTGTCGTCGTATGGACCCAAGGGGGACCGGTATAAGTGGAATGCCCCGAGGGGGCCAGAGACGTGCCTGTCGAGGTCTGGTGGTGAGGGTTATGCGAGCTCCAGGTCGAGAGGTGAGGAGGCCGGGGCTTGCATCTGCCAGCCTCGGCGACGGAAAAGAGCGACAGAGCAGCAACAGCTGCGTTGATGAGAGAGAGCGTCATTGTAAAGAATGGACGGATCTACAAGAGATCCAAGTGAGCCTAAGCAAAGGAATGACTGTGGCGGAAGCCTCGTTGACGGTGAAGGGGAACCAAAACAGAGCAAAGGGGGCGGCCGCGGTGGGTGAGCACGGCGGGCGGCGGCCTTTTATTGCATGCCATCTGCTTGCGGTCCCCGTCCTCAGCTCGATGCGCCCCCCCTGGGAGAACTGTGCAGGACCCAGGTGGATGCTGGCGAGGCTGGCTCTGAACCCAAACCCACTGCGACGTCGAGGCCGGGACCGAGCTTGGCAGCGTCCGGCGCCCAGGAACGGAGTCTCCAAGTCCAGGCCGCATGTCGGCGGTCAGCGCATGTCAGGGGCAATTGTGTCGGATTCCCGTCTCGGCGCGTTCCCGTTCCCGTTCGTCGTCGTCTGTGACAAACATCATGACCCCAACGATGTTGGCTTCCCGGCCGCCGCTTGTGCAAGTGTTCTGCAGGCGCCATGGCGGGCGGGCGCGTCAGCATCGTGAGCATTGTCGATGCGGGCGTTTTATCGGGTTGCACCATCGAAGTGACGCCGAAGGTGCGGGTGTGGCGGGCAGAATCCTCCAGTGCGCCTCGTGGGAGATTGGACGAATCGATGACCAGACTCGAGGCACCAGGAAATTAAGCTCCAGGCGAACCCACAACCCGGCGACAATCCCGGCGGCGTGCCGCATTCTTGGCAGGCACCATTTGTTGCTGGCGGCTCCAGAGAGTCGAGAGTCCGAAAAGAAAACCCGGTCACCTTTTGAGATCTCACCCCCAGGTTATCCTCCTCGAATCACCTTTCCCGGCCATCAAACCTCATGGACACCAAACACTTCTCGAATACTTTGTACCCCCCGACCCCCCGCGGGCTGTCTGTCGTGCTACCGTGTCACCAGGCAGCCAACTTGTCCCCCAGTCCTGTCAGTGTCAACCGACGTCGTGACCCCTGACTCCTCACGGCCACTTCCGGTATTACGCGCAACTGCTTTTGGTATTACGCGTAACTGCCC